GGAGCCTACGGTCAAGAACTTTTGCGTAATCCATAAGCCGCAACTAGGTGGAAAAAAGATGGTTGCTTTGATCGCCCCTCTGTCACAGAGAAGCCCTAAGATGGACCACCTCTGTCACGGAGGGGCTCGTTCTGCGTGCTCTTCTGCCGCGGAGGCTCCCGCGACGACTGGAGACGATAGAAGGGGAGAAAAACGTGATGTCGCCGCGGCGGCCCCAGCGACAGGTTGTGCCCTGCGAGCGGAGAGCGTGTCGCTCCGCTCCGCGTGGCGCGCGAGGCCGAGAGAAAGAACCTCGGGACGTGGACGCCTCGGGACCAGGATGTGGATAGCGTGTCGCGCCGCAGCCCGCAAAAAAGTTATCGAGATCGATCGTTCCCCTTTTCGCCTCGCCCTCGCGTCGCCAGATGCCCCTTCACGCTTGTCCAAGCAATCCCCGCGTTCCCACCTGCCCCCCGCAACCTCCTCCTTTCCTTCAGACGCACGGCCTTAAGCACATGCGCAAGCGGAGCCTTCCGAAGGTGGTCTGATGCACTGCGGGGCTGAAGATCTCCGAGAGATCGGCGGCGCGACATGCTAAGCCAAAGTTCCTGGCCGCATCCCCCCCGAAGGTTGGCTCCCACCTCCCAAGAGGTCCGATGTCTCGGTTTTTTCAAACCATCCTGAGGTGTTGGGTCCTCGTTTCGAAGAGACGGTGCCCCGCGTCTTCCTTGCGTTTACCCCCCACAGTACAGCGCTTCGTGGCCCCATAAGGAGCTCCACCGAAGGCTCCGTTGGCGGCGTTCGCATGCGCTTCCTCCACCCAGTATAACGTTTCGTGGCCCCACAAAGAGCTCCACCGAAGGCCCCATTGGCGGTGTTCGATGCGATTCCTCCACCAGTACATCGCTTCGTGGCCACATAGGGAGCTCCACCGAAGTGCCCCAGAGGCGGTCCCCTACCCAGTACAACGTTTCGTGGCCGCACAAGGAGCTCCACCGATGGCTCCGCTGGCGGCGTTCGCATGCGTTTCTTCCACCCAGTACAACGCTTGGTGGCTCCACAAGGAGCTCCACCGAAGGCTCCGCTGGCGGGGTTCGCATGCGTTTCCTCCACCCAGTAAAACGAACGCTTCCTGGCGCCATAAGGAGCTCGAACGAAGGCCTCAGCAGCGACGCCCACACCCTGCGGTGCTGGGTCCTCGTTTTGAGAGACAACGCCCCACGTTCTCTTCCTCCTCCCCCTCCTCCCTCCCCTCACACGATTCGTGGCCCCATAGGGAGGTCCACCGAAGGGCCCAGTGGCACCGTTCGCATGCGTCCACCCCGCCCATTTCGGCACACCCCTCACACGATTCGAGGTTTCGTAAGGAACTCCACCGAAGGCCCCAGTGGCATGGTTCGCACGCGTTTCTTCCACCCACTTTAACGCTTCGTGGCCCCGTAGGGGGCTCCACCGAAGGCCCCACTGGCGGCGTTCGCAAGCGTTTGACTCCCCCCGGTACGCCCCATGGGCAGCTGCACCGAAAGCTCCGCTGGCGGCGTTCGCATGCGTTTCTCCCACCCAAGACAACGCTTCGTGTCATCAAAGGAAGCTCCACCGAAGGGCCCCAGTGGCAGCGTTCGCATGCGCTTTCCCAACACAGCACAACGTTTCGTGGCCCCACAGGGAGCTCGACCGAAGGCTCCAGTGGCGGTGTCCGCATGCGTTTCCTCCACCCGATACAACGTCTCATGGCCTCATAAGGAGCTCCACCTCAGCGGCGGTGTTCGCATGCGTCTCCCCCACCCAGTACAACGCTTCGTGGCGCCACAAGGAGCTCCACCGAAGGCACCAGTGGCGACGGTCGCATAGCGGCCCCGCTCCATTTCGGCACACCCCTCACACGTTTCGCGGCCCCATATAGAGCGCCACCGAAGGACCCCATGGCTGCGCCCGCATGCGTCCCCGCCCCGTGTCGGCACACCTTTAACACGCTTCGTGGCCCCATAAAGAGATCCACCGAAGGCGATACCCACAACGACGATATTCACAACTGCATATGCTTGGGCCCTTCGCCAACAAAAATTGTTCAACACGGGTCCCAGGAAGTCTCGACCTTCTCCTGGGAACAAGTTTCTCATCTCGAATCGTTTTCCCAACTATCCTGCGGTGCTGGGTCCTCATTTTGAGAGACAGCGCCCCGCGTTCTCCTCCTCCTCCCCCTCCTCACTCCCCTCACACGATTCGTGGCCCCATAAGAAGGTCCACCAGAGGGCCCAGTGGCACCGTTCGCATGAGTCCACCCCGCCCATGTCGGCACGCCCCTCACACGATTCGTGGCCCCATAGGGTGCTCCACCGAAGGGCCCAGTTGCACGGTTCGCATGCGTCCCCCCCACACATGTCGACACACCCCTCATACGATTTGTTGCCCCGGAAGGAGTTCCACCTAAGGTCCCAGCAGCACCGTTCGCATGCGTCCCCCTTTTCTTCCGGCATTCCCCTTACACGACTAGTGGCCACAGGGACTTCCACCGAAAGCCTCACAGGCACCGTTCGCATGCGTCCCTCTCACCAACTTCGGCAGACCCCTCACACGGTTCGCGTCCCCATAGGGCGTTCAGCTGAAGGTCCCAGTGGTACCCTTCGCATGCGTCCCCCCCACCAATGTCGGTGCACCCCTCACACGTTTCGTGGCCGCATAAGGAGCTCCACCGGAGGCCCCACTGACAGCGTTCGCCTGCCGCCCCCCCTTTATTTGGGCATATCCCTTACACGTTCCATGGCCCCATAAGGGGCTCCACCGAAGTTCCCACTGGCGGTATTCGCATGCGCTTCCCCCTCCCAGTACAGCGCTTGGTGGCCCCATAAGGGGCTCCACCGAAGGCCCCACTGGCGGCGTTCGCATGAATTTCCCCCACCCAGTACAACGCTTCGTGGCCCCACGGGCAGCTGCACCGAAGGCCCCACTGGCGGTGTTCGCATGGATTTCCCCCACCCAGTACAACGCTTCGTGGCCCCACGGGCAGCTGCACCGAAGGCCCCACTGGCGGTGTTCGCATGAATTTCCCCCACCCAGTACAACGCTTCGTGGCCCCACGGGCAGCTCCACCGAAGGCTCCGCTGGCGGCGTTCGCATGCGCTTCCCCCACTCAGTACAACGCTTCGTGGCCCCACGGGGACTCCACCGAAGGCCCCGGTGGCGGCGTTCGCATGCGTTCCCCCCACCCTGTACAACGCTTCGTGGCCCCATAAGGAGCTCCACTGAAGGCCCCGGTGGCGGTGTTCGCATGCGTTTGGCCGACCCAGTACAACGCGTCGAAGCCCCATAAGGAGCTCCACCACAAGCCCCAGCGGCAGTAACCGCATGCGTCCCCCATCCCAATACAGCGCTTCGTGGCTCCATGGGGAACTCCACCGAAGGCCCCACTGGCAGCGTTCGCATGCAGCCCCCCTTGATTTTGGCACACCCCTCACACGTTCCGTGGCCCCGTAGGTGGCTCCACCGAAGGCCCCACTGGCGGTGTTCGCATGCGCTTCCCCCTCCCAGTACAACGCTTCGAAGCCCCATAGAGAGCTCCACCGCAAGCCCCAGTGGCGGTAATCGCATGCAACGCCTCGTGGCCCCATGGGGAGCATCACCGAAAGCCTCAGTGGCGGCGTTCGCATGCGTTCCCCACTCGCTGTACAGCGCTCGGTGGCCCCATAAGGAGCCCCACCGAAGGCCCCACTGGCGGCGTTCGCATGCGTTTCCCCCACCCAGTACAGCTTTTCGTGGCCCCACGGGCAGCTCCACCGAAGGACGCACTGGCGGTGTTCGCATGGGCTTCCCACTCACAGCACAGCGCGTCGTGGCCTCATAGGGAGTTCCACCGAAGGCCCCACTGGCGGTGTTCGCATGCGTCTCCGCCACTCAGTACAGCGCTTCGTGGCCCCATTGGGAGCTCCACCGAAGGCCCTAGAGGCGAACCCGCCCCATTGGTGCGCACGCCCTCACACGCCTCGCGGCGCCGTAGCGCCTTCCGCCTAAAGCACCAGTGGCAGCCCCCACGTGGCGGCCCCGCCCCACATGGGCACACCCTTCGTATGCTTCATGGCCTCATGAGGAGATCCCCCGAAGGCGAAACCCGCAACGACGGTACTCACAACTGCATATGGTTGGGTCCTTCGCCAGGATAGTTTGACAGTCCCAAGGCCCGGTAGGAACCTCCAGAGGCTGAAGACACAGAAAAAACCTCAGCACGATTCTTTCGATACGTTGGATCTCTGGGCCCCCGTCACCGTCGAGAACGGCGCCTATGCACCGTACTACGTTTGGAGTCCCTTCACGCCCGATTCCAAAGCGGCACGGTGCTTAGTTGTTCGGCCCTGAAGGCCGACAAATAGCTCGCCGTACCAGTCCTGGGTCGAAGATCGACGCACCTCGGTGAAGCCAACGCGGTGAAGTGCACCCTTTTTTCGTCGGCGGCGAGGCAGAGGCAATCCGCACCAGCGCGGGGCGAATCGGGGCAACCGATAGGCGAATTATCTGGCGTGCAAGACGAAGGAACGAAGACGAGGGCGGCCGCGCGAAAGGTGGAGGGGGAGGGCGCTCTGACGTGGAAGAGTTCCGCGGTGAGCGGGCCAGAGCGGCCAGCCGGGGCAGCGGGGACCGCGGCAGCAGCCCAGGCCAGGGCCAGGGCGCACCCGCGGGCGCTGCCAGGGCGCAGTGGCGATGGCGAGCAAGTAGTTGACCAGTCCAGGAGTGCGAGGACTGCCATCAGCAAAATTCTGAATCCACCAGGTGCACCGACTGTGTGGTGTCACGGTCCTAGCGCGGCATCCGCGACAAGGGCTGGGCGCAACGCTGGGGCGACACCAGGTGGGTGGGGCTGAGCTGCATGCCGGGGACGAGGCAGCGCGGCGGCGCGGTGGCGTCGCGCGGGGAGGGGAGGAAAAGGGAGGGTAGGGGAGAGGAGCGCCTCGCGGTACGGTGCACACATGTCGTCTGCGGATCGCCGGCGCCGCCGCCACCGCCGCTGTCTGCAGCGCCCCGCCCGTCGCCGCGGCCGCCCGCACCGCCGCCCCGGCGCGCAGCCGTCGCTCGCCGTGCGCGCCCTGCCCGCGCCGGCGGGAGGCCGCCGCCGCCTCGGCGGCGCTCGGCGGCGCTCGGCGGCGCTGGGCGGCGTCGTCGCCAGTCGGCGGCGGCGGC